ACTTCCTGTTTATCCGTGCGTCTGTCCCTACCATACATAGCAAACTTTGGTCGCAGTTTTCTCAGCAACTACTCATCGCAGATGCTTGAAATTTTAACACACTCTTTGTTTAGGCATGCCATATGGTGGGATTCATTTTTGTACTAATCCGTTGTCAATTTCCTGTTTATTTGTGTGTCTAACCGTACCATACATAACAAACTTTGGTCGCAGTTTTCTCAGCAACTACTCACCCCAAGTGCTTGACATTTTAACACACTCTTTGTTTAGGCATGCCATATGTTGGGATTCATCATTTTTGTACAAATCCGATGTCAACTTCCTGTTTATTCGTGTGTCTGTCTGTATCATATATAACAAATTTTTGTGTAGTTTTCTTAGCAACTACTCATCGTAGATGCTTGAAATTTTAGCACAATCTTTGTTTAGGCATGCCATGCCATATGGTGGGATTCATTTTTTGTACAAATCGGATGTAAACTTCCTGTTTATCCGTGCGTCTGTCCATACCATACATAACAAATTTTGGTCGAAGTTTTCTCTGCAACTACTCATTGCAGATGCTTGCAATTTTAGCACATTCTTGTTTAGGCATGCCATAAAATGGGATTCATTTTGGTACAAATCTGATGTCAACTTCCTGTTTATCCCTGCATCTGTCTGTACCATACATAACAAATTTTGGTTGCAGTTTTCTCAGCAACTACTTATCGCAGGTGCTTGAAATCTTAACACAATGTTTGTTTAGGCATGCCATATGTTGGGATTCATTTTTTACTAATCCAATGTCAATTTCCTGATTATCACTGTGTTTGTCCGTAACTGAACTTGTGTATTCACATCAGAACGGGGGTATTATTAGTGAGCATTGGCTCACAGACTTCTTGTTAGTTCTAGCAAACATTTAGTTCCAAATAATGTTTTTTCTTTCCTATTATTAATTTTTTTTTTCAGAACCCCCCCCCCAAGATTTAACAGTAGATTACATATACAAAAAAGTGTATGTATACATGTGCCATCTGGTTATCCTGTGAATGATATGTAAAATATTTTACTTGTATACCGTGTGTTTGTTTATTTGTGTTTTTTGTTTTGAAAGACTGATATCTTGATAACACACAATGTCATATTTTTCAAGTCACCTGTCACTCAGGTGACTTATCGCTATCTGTTTTCACCCGTCATCGTCCATTGTCATTTGAACTTTACAACTTCTTCTTTTGAACCACTGAACCAATTTCAATCAATTTTGGTGTGTAGCTTTTATGGAAAAAGGGAAACAAAAATTATGAATTTCATGGTATTTGCCTTTCTGGTGCCTGAGGGGTTGGGCCAAAACCATCAAAGTTAATGCAATCCTCAAAAATCTTCTTTACTCCTGGACATCAAGCAGTCAACCTGTTGGCATGATGATAATAAGCAATGAGTCTTTTACCAAAATTGTGAATTTCTTGTCCTCAAGGTGAGGGGTTCTAGTGTTAAGGTGGGGCTCTATTGATCTCATATTGAAAAAAGCATGTGCTTCTTTGAAAATCCTCTTCTCTCCCACAGTATATTTAGCAGCAAAACTTTATACCTATAAGTAAGGATGCCTTTTCCAAAATTTTGAAATTCATTGCCCCAGAAACAGGGATTCTGGTGTTAAGGTGGGACTCTACTGAACATATGGTGAAGGTGCATTACATGTAATATTCAGCAGACAAACTAAGTGCATGGTTATGATGAGTAATGGTGCCTCTCTCAAAATAATTAAATTCCTGACCGCTGGATCAGAGGTTCCTGTGTTAAAGAAGGACTGTATTCACCATTTAGTGAAAAATGCATTAATTCTTTGAAATCTTCTCTGCTCCAGGGTTTTTAGCAGACAAACAAAGTGCACAATTACATGCATATAATGAGTAAGGGTGTCTCTTCCAAAATTGTGAAATTCATGGTCCCCTTGACCAGGGGTTCCAGTATTAAGGCAGGATTTTATTGATCATATACAGGTATTGGAATTGAAATTAATGGTTCCATGTGAGCATCTAGAAAGCAAAAAGAGTACAAAGTTGTAATGAGCAAGGGTCGTTTTACCTGATCTGTGAAATTCTTGACCCCTGCATGGGTCAGAGATTTTTTGTTCAGCAAGGCTCTATGGAACGTAGGACTATTTTAAACTTTAGTTTGAGAGAATAGAAATGAGATAAAAATACTGTATATCCGTACATTAAATGGTTTTTAAAGACTAAGAGAGGCCAATGGTGCAGGGAGTGTGCTGGATTTACCATGTTTAAGTTTGGTGATTATGACAGCTAGCACTGGCACATACAGGCAAGTAAATAAATCTACTCTCTGGGTTGTTGCTGATTACCCAACTAACTAGATTGCTGACCCCTTATAATACTTGTATTTGAGCAACATAATTATCAATTAGTTAAATTTGTGTTCTTATTTAATTATTACATTGCCATTCATTGATCGTTACAGTGTGGTATTATACTCAGGTGACTGTTAAGGCCCGTGGGCCTCTTGTATGTATGAGATACACATTCATCAAAAGCATGTGTGTAAGGGCCTAATCTAAGTAGCATCATTGTATATGTATCATATCATGTATCATATACAGTAGAACCTGTATCTTTTTTTCATGATATGTTGCAACTTACAAAGTAAAAGAAAAAAAAACATTATACAAGTTCATTAAAGATCAATATACAAAATGTAAGTTTAAAAATTTTATCTTGTATTTATTGACAATTTTATATTGAAAAATATTTTTAAGTGAAAATGCTTTTCAGGTATCTCACCTGTACGTTAAACTAAAAATTTATGAACATTTTACAGTACTAAATCATTTTTATGATGACAAATTAAAAGTTAAAACATTTACATTTGCTTTTTATTTAGTTATAATTTCAATATACATGTTATTGAAATATTCTTTATAGGCATTCCTTCCCGAGGTTTTTGTCTGAATTGATTATATATTTTAATAGAAAATTATGGCACCAATTTAATATTTTGATCAAAATCGTCCAGTTGGCCGGGGGGGGGGGGGTCATTGTATCATTATCCTTGGAGAAAGGGGGTGTAGAAAGGAAATAAGGTGTGATTTATCATGAACATGAGATTTCAGATGATGAGGAAGCAATATCGGTTAAGAAAGGGGCACAACCTACCCAACTTAAATTTCCGACATAAAAAAGATCATCAAACATATTGCAAAAACATATATGCAAAATTATTGAGGTGGGGGTGGAGGCATCCCTAGGGTTGCTACGTACACGGGCCTGGATTTAATAAGCATCATCAGGAATAGGGTGGTCTTAGGTCCTAGATGAGCCTACGTTTTATCCTTCTGCGAATAGTATAGACACAGACATGGCAGAATAATGCGCGAAAACTCTAGGACATTTCCATAGATAATCTTCGCGTTGTTCTTACAAACAACTTATCTTTGATACACTTTGGTTTTACTGTTTAACTGTTTGGGGAGACGAGAGTAAAAGCATGTCACCACCTCGTGAAAGTACATACTATCAACGAATTTTCAATCTTTTTCTGAAGTACGTAACAAAGCTAAGTTGCCGAGTGTTTGGGAAAGGAACGCCTACTTCAACAAGCGCATAACTGTGATCAAGTTTACAATGGGTGTTTGTGATTTTTTTAAAGCCCCAATACTGCACCGATAGAACATGTGCGCAAAATATTTACGTTATTCCGTCCCAGGTTTTTCTGTTAAATACTAAATCCGTTGTACTGCGGGTTATAATCCGCCTTCTTGATCTTAAATCTTTGGTCACTCTATGGAAATAATGTTATGTGTGAATTTAAACCGAAGGAAAATGCATTCAGGTTAGTCTTCAGGTGTAAATATTTCTGTTAGAAATTATATTAGATACACTCTCTGCTCCAATATATTAAGTAATTCACTAAAAGCCTAAACTCTCTCTCTCTCTCTCTCTCCTATACATTTAGCGATGTCTGTGTGGAGAGGATACGTACCTATATACATGTATATCTCGCTAGCTGTCAATCGACTAATCCAGCCAGATTTTGTGAAATAAATTAAAAGTAAAATGAACTGTTCGTCTTTTTCATTCCCTCTCCAATCCCTCCCCCCCTCTCTCTCTCGCATTGTGTTTAATAAGAGACATTTGTAGACTTTACTCTAGCTCTTGACTAATCCAGTCAGGTGTAAATACGGATAATCTCTCTCTCTCTCTCTCTCTCTCTCTCTCTCTCTCTGTGTATTAGTATTGAATAATGCTATTTTTTTTATTTAATCCACAGACAAAATCACATAGGAGACAATGACTATTAATAATGGGATGCGGAGGAAGCAAGGATGATGGCGCCCTTTTTGTCCGCGTTGCCGACCCCTACACCCTTAACTTCTTAGGGGTTTACGAAAGCTTCTGGGATTTCCGTGAAACATCAGATCGTTTTCATGGCCAGATCCCTCCCAAATGCACCCAGTTATGGACGGACACAAATCTCCCCCCTCCCAAAGATTGTCAATCTTTTCGGGCTGAGGTAAACATGTAGTGAATTTGTAGCTGTCATCACACGTTTTCGTTGAGTGTGAGTTTATTTGTAATTCGGAAACACATTTTTGTAATTCCCTATAATTTTCAGAATAAACATTGTTATATTTTAATTGCTGGTATTTTTTTTTTTACAGAATTAGTGATCCTATAGATTATTTTTTAAACCTTAATTTTCAAATTTGAAAATCTGAAAGTTGAATTGGTCGATTTTTTCCCCCTTTTCCCTATTCTTTTCTATAGATAAAAGGAGTTCACTCAATGCTACTCTGTCGGGATCCTGAAAGCCCGGATTTAAATCAAGGGGAACTTGATACTACCTACTTCCTCAATGTCATCGAAAAACTGACGCCACGGACAGATATCATCAAACACGTATAAGGCTTCTGTTATATTAAGTTTTATAGCATTTCTATAGATTACCATATGATTTATGCTATTGTATTTTAGTCTTACTAGCTGATATAAACCAAATCAAGTTTACCCAAAGTTTTATTGTTAAAAAAAAAGAGGGGGTGAGGTGACAAGTATACAAAAAAGAGGGTAGCTTCACCCAAAATACGATCTGAATTGGATGGTATATCCTGGTACATTGTATTAAATGCATTTTGTCATAGGAATATCAAGCATTTTGCTATGTAGTGATTGATGATTTTAAAGCTACAGGTATATAAAAAAAATATTGATTTGAGGGCACTTTAATAATTCTATTGTGTCATCAGTTTTTGCTTGTATACTTCATCGGGATTGTAAATGTTTAACCAACAGCTGATACCCAACGATAAAACCCGAGTGATTTACAAAAAGGAGGAAATCTATGTGGGCGTTGTCCACTGCAGAGTATGGAGGTTCGGACGCTGGGTTGACATTTACGTTGACGATTCGGTCCCCTGTGTCTCCAACAGCGGGGGTATACGTCTCCTATCCTATTGCCACGACAAGGATGAACTGTGGTTGACGTTCCTAGAAAAGGCATGGGCAAGGTATGTTTAATTATGAGGTATTGATGTTGTATTAGCTAGTATAATATTAATACGAAATAGAAGGTCATTAAAAAATAATTAAACATATCATTTCCGAGATCGCAATCTTGACATTATTCTATTGTTTTGATTTTTACGTTAAGGTCAGAAGATACGTTCATCAAATAGGTGTTTTGTAAACTTAGTATCTTCGTATTGATTAAAATATTCAGAATTTTAATTACCTTCTGATTTCTTAACTGGTTTCTAATTGTCTTAAAAAAAAAATTGAAACATTAAAAATGTGATATTGGCATATGAAGTTTTTTTTTTTCCAAAAGGATTTTATAGGAAACATCATCCTCTGGTATCTTCCACAAATGCCTGGTAAGGTACCTCAATTTTTGCGAGTAAACGTGTTAAAGTAGCAATGCTCCAATGACAAAATCTTAGAAAAAATTATATATTATTGAGGAACGTATCGTCTGTCCTTAATATTGAATTTGTTACCTTAAATTTTAGAAATACACAAAATTAAAACGTTCATTTCTTAATCAAGAAATATATTTAAAATTTATGATTGATTTGTAATTCCTGATAAAATGAATAAAATTAGAAATAAAGTGCATGAGATTTTTTCTGTAGATTCTGGGGTGGCTACACGAGTATTGAATACGGGTATATACATGACACCTACCTAAGTCTGACAGGAGGAGTGTATGATGCAATCAATCTGGAGAAAACTCGACTAAAGCCCGGGGACATCTACTACAAGATCCGGCGGGGCATCGCCCAAGGGGCACATGTTGGATGTTCTGTGTCTGTAAGTAGAGATCCTGAAGGGGTATGGCCCTCCGGGGGGGGGCACATATTGGTTGTTCTGTGTCTGTACGTAGAGATCCTGAAGGGGTATGGACCAGGGACATGTATGTTGGATGTTTTGTCATATGGTGTATGTTCCGTCTAAGTAGAGATCCTTGTGTGCATCCTCCAGATGAAGGGGGGGGGGGGGCTGTTGGATGCTGTCTCCATAAATTGATATCCTGACTACTTTGTCGATAACAATGTCGAGTAAAATTACATAAAAGTGGAATTTTTTATGTAAGGATCTGGAAAAAAAAATGTATCTCGTCTTAAAATTTCATAATTATACAGTTAATAAGTATACATTACATCTACTTTGATTATAAAATTTTTATTACAATTGTTATAAATTATCAAAATTGTACTCTACAAGGGGGACAAAATTACATTTTGAATAAAAGCTTTTAAATTGACATATAATAGTTAAATATACATGTAGGGGTGTTGAAATTACGGGGATTAGTGTGTTGAAACGATAGAGTATAAATCAAGGATGATATTTTAGATTCATGTAAGCTACATGACATTGTATGCATGTGATGTTAGACATTTATTTAGTTAACAAAAAACAGATGCATGATCTACTATATTAATTGAAGCATTTATGATACTATGATAAAATTGTGGCTTTAGATTTTTCCCTACTTTTCAGAGAAAGCATGACGGGGTTTATGGGTTAACCGCTGGTGATACGTTCACTATCGTGGAAACTTATCAAGTATGTACGTCCTATGTACAGACATTAGTTGCTATTGAAAGCTAAAGAGACCGTAAAATGATTAATTTTATTTCAAAGTTACATTTTAAAGGAAAGATTTTTCTTTAATCAGCACATGGGCATTAAATTTTGCTTTTAAGTTAGGATTTTTATTGGCAAACCTGGTCATTATTTCATTCATACTGAATTCAGAAATATTACATTTTGAAGGTTCATACGCAAAAAGGCAAAGAAATTCATCTTCTACGCATGCGTGATCCTTTGGGATATACGCTCTGGAAAGGTCCATGGAATGAAAAGTAAGACGTCTTTTGCAATCTTATAATGGCAGATATAATATATATTCAATATTACTTGCTAAAAATTTCTTAAACGTAATATCAGCATTTGATGCTACCGTGTTTGTAGAACAAATTTATACATATTTTGTTGGCAATGCTTATTTTCAAAGCCCCAATCTCCAGAACATGGTGCACTATTGCACCAATATTTTTTTCTTCTAACTCGATCCACCGTTCACGGTAGCTCAGTCGGTAGAGCGCTCGCTCCGTGATCGGGAGGTCGTGAGTTCGAAACTCGGCTGCGACTGATCTAAGTCGATAAAAAATTGGTAGCAACTGTTCCTTCGCCTTGCGCTCGGCACTTTGAAGTGAAAGTTGCGGGTCCTTCGGATGAGACCTTAAAAACCGAGGCCCCGTGTCACAGCAGGCGTTGGCACGATAAAGATCCCTCACTGCTCAATGGCCCTGAGTGCCGAGTAAAGGTAAAAATTTGAAGCCCTTCACCGGTATATGGTGACGTCTCTATATGAGTGAAAAATTCTCGAATGGGACGTTAAACAGCATACAATCAATCAATCAATCTAACTCTATCCATTCTTTAGTGCTTATTCTTGCCATTATTCATTTACTTCTTTATATATTCCATTAGCGGAAGTGAGTGGGCTTCGTTACCCCCAGAAAGTGACATCATGCAGAGGGCAATTTGTGATAACGAGTTCATCATGGCGTTCCGGGACTTCATTGCGTACATGGAGTGTGTCTGTGTGTGTTCTATAACTCCAGTGGTCGACCAAGATATAAACCAATTTATACGCCTTAGTAAGTCAAAGCAAAGAAAAAAAAATAAACATTCGTCAAATTTCTTGTCAATCTCTAATAATTATCGTTTGATAAGTTTCATATAAGACGTATGTGCAAAGCTATAAAAAATTATTATCTGTATTTAAAAAAATATGAAGGAACGCTAAGGTATCCGTAGGTAGGATCATGTACAAGTTTGTACAGGACAGTATGTACTGATGCAGGGGGATATTCGAATTTAAGACAATCTCTTTATTTCTGTTGTTTGCTATATGCCACAGCAAATGCATGTAACTTTTCTCAACTTAAGGTTTATTAAATAACCATATTATTTTGATCATTCTCAATTTTCCATTTAAACAATGAAAGCAATTAAAACAATTAGTTCATAATTTACCTATGCAGTGTATCGGAGTAAAATTTGGAATTGTAGAATATTGTACACATGTGTTTGGGGAATGGTACGGGGTAACGGCTGCTGGCAGTAAGAAAATTCTGGATAATCCGAAATTTTGTTTTACCATTCCAAGTCGGGGTAAGATATCAATGATGTTGATGCTTCAATGATTTTATTATTTTTTTTGCATTAGAAAGAATGCATCCAGTCTTCAACTTTAATCTTTTTTCGTTTTGAAAATGTTTAATTCATTGCTACATGAGATTGACTGAACAGCAGGCATGATGCCTATAATCGTTCTCTCCAAGATTTATTTCAAGTTTTATCATAGAGTCTCATTCAAACCTTTGCACGAAATCATGAACATGTGACATCTTCTAGTAAAGTCCCATCTTCAAACCTTGTAGCAAGTCTAATCTTCAAACCCTGTAGCAAGTCTAATCTTCAAACCCTGTAGCAAAATCTCTCCTTCAAAAAATTAAAACAAAGAGAATTCTCCTTTGACAGGATTCAGTAAGGAGCAGACACCGATGGTGGTAGGAATCTCCCTCCTCCAGCTCTGTAAAGACAGACTAGAAGACAGAATCCCCATCACACTAAGGGTATTTAAGGTACTACACTGTATTATAATACTTCGTTATACATGAATGTTCTCATAGTATCTACAGTAGTAATGAAAATGAACACACCGTTTGTGAAATCACTTATTTTCGAGGGTTTGTTTATCGCTGTTTTGGTTGTATGAAGAGACCCATCCATTCATGTTCTCCACGAAAAATGAAAAAAAAAAACAAAACACATTAGTACAGAATAATCATGTCTTGCAGTATGTACTAATCTCTGCTAGCTGGCGGAATACTATCAGGGATTTTGATTGACTAAAAAATCTGTTTCTAAAATTACATCAGAAAAATATCGTAATGTTTATATGGAAAATAAAATGTAAACAAATTTTATTTATTCAGTGCCATATTTAAACATTGGAATTGAATTTTTATACCCCAAATTTTATAAATCAGCTCTCTAACCGAGATTAGTACATACCACTTCATGGTGTGAGACGAATTTTTCCGTCGGCGAGCAGAGATTTGACGCTGTGTACGGAGATAAAAGAAAATAAAGACAAGCATGTCATAAATGGTTGTGTAGATAGATTATCGTAGAAGAGAATGGGTGTAAATAGTTTGTCATTGTGATCTCCTCTGAAAGTGTAAATGATTGCGATTCTAGGGAGGAGATACTCCATGTAATTCGGAGTTAGATACCGTGGTTATTATTATGCTATGGGTAAAAAAGAATTATTACAGAAACAAGTGCCCGTGTCATGTTTATATTCTAACCATGAAACTAAATCTCTTCGAATTACTATTTTACCACAAGTCGCAAAATTTTGACCCCACGAAAGTGTGAATTTACAGTATTTAGTCGGATACACACAGATAGCTCCTCGTCAAACTAATCCCTTATGCTGTACAACAGGCTAGACAACAGAAGCAGGGGATGTTGATTGAGGAGATAGGGGAAACGTTTGAGCAAGGGTTCCAGCAGATTCTGAGGACATTCAAACTAAAACCGGGAAAATACATGATCCTCCCTCACACAGCCAAAATGAAAACAGAGAGGCACTTTCTACTGAGGATTTATACCACATTTCCGTTGAAGTATATTCAGTATGTATTTTATGATTGTATATGACCATAATTCTGCTATCATGTTATTTTTCTGATAGGTCGTTGGAGGTACATATTGGCAGAATACAGATATTGTAATTGGTTTCTAAGAGTGGGAGATGATTAAAAACCTGTGGTTTGAGATGATGCATATTTCTCCCAAAACATTTTTTTAATTGAAAATAATTCAAGTACATGTAAAGAAAAATGATTTTTTTTACCTTTTTGTATAAGCTTTTGAGTGTACTTCTGACATTATAGATGGGTTCCTTCAACTGAACCGTTGCTACTTCTGAAAGAGGACAAACCCTTAAATCTTAAAGATCTGAAATGTACACTTGGTGAGATTATATTGACATATTTCTGTTAAAAAAATATACATTTGATTCAAGTAGACAATCCAAACCAAGCAACAGTATTCATAAAAAAAGTATATTTGATCGATCATGATTGCTTGGTATCTGATACACAAGTCTTAATACTAACCAGGCATGAAACTTCCTCATTCCAAGTCTTAATACTAACCAGGCATGAAACTTCCTCCTTCCAAGTCTTAATACTAACCAGGCATGAAACTTCCTCATTCCAAGTCTTAATACTAACCAGGCATGAAACTTCCTCCTTCCAAGTCTTAATACTAACCAGGCATGAAACTTCCTCATTCTAAGTCTTAATACTAACCAGGCATGAAACTTCCTCATTCCAAGTCTTAATACTAACCAGGCATGAAACGTCCTCATTCCAACTGAGTGAGATTTTCACGAAGAGACGTTAAAGCAAAATGAGCTGCAACTTTGATGTTGGAAATTTTTTAGGCAAAATTGTAATCAACTATTTCATTGACAGAAAAAAAAACGTTTAGAAACGTCTCTTGTTCATATTGGAAGAACTACCGGTATTTATAAGCTTTGATTGAAGCAAAATTACAATATTGTCGCCCAATATTGATTTCTCATATAATACAGTACATTCCATTGTACAGAAACCTTTCTTCTGAAACAATTTAATACATTATTTTAGTCTAATTGATCATAAATGTTTAAGTTACATACAGATTTATCATAACAGCACATTTTAACAGCAAAATAAAATTCTCAAAAATGCAGCTCATATTGCTTTAAGCCAAAATTTTGCCCACCACAACCTGGCTTAGCTTATTAGACTCTTGAATTATTTGATCAAAAAATTGTTAATTTGACTTTCAATAGACTGCTGTGAAGAGATTTGGGGGCGTTGGTCAGAGGGTCTCCAGGGAGGGTTCATCTACGACAGAGACTTTGATCTGAATCCCCAGGTTGACATCTCGGTGCCAG